TACTACTCGGAGCAAAGACGCTACTAGGAGCAAATGGCATCGCTACTAGGAGCAAGGACGCTACTAGCGGCTCCTGGCCTTACTACTAGGAGCAAGGACGCTACTTGAGAAGGAAAAGAACATTCTCACAATCTGCTCACATCGGACATCTCCGCATGGCCAAGTAGCATGGAAGACCCGCAAGAGTTCTTCCATCCACCCTGTCACGAGAAGACTTGGTCCGACAGGGAACACAACAACTTGGACTTGGCCCGCCCAGCGGAGACAATTGTCGCACAAGCGAACCATGGTGAAACGCTGGAAATCAAGGTGAAGGTAGGAAAACAAAATGCAAAACAGCCTCACAAGTTTGCCCACCATCTGGTTCTACCAAGACCTCTTGGCACAGGGCCATGCTGACAACCCTTACTTTCTTTTCTCAATCCTTTTTCCCTCTTGGGCCTTTTGATTATTAGTTAATTCCTTTGTTTCTTTTGTGTCTCTTTTGTGTCCGTGCATTTTCCCATAGTTTCCCAAGTTTGCCACCCGCTCTCTCATGCGGAAGCCTTCTGTCTCCTGTCCCATGACCTCGTTGCTGAAGGCACACATCCCTCCAAAGCTGCGCACTACGCACTCTTCCGTGTCAGCTTCTTCCGCGTCCTGGATTACCTCCCAATCCTCCTGAATGCCAAAAGGACAAAGCACACACACGGATAAAAGTGCCGATATGAATGCCGCATGCGCGCTGACCCTCAAAGCTCGGGTCCAAAAGGGTCAGAGGTTCGTGACAAATCGTAGCAACATCACGCGTGACTGCAGATTCAAACGGAAGCAACCTATCATAACCTATATATATATATTATATATAATATAATATATAAATTCCTTCATGTCACTTGGTTTACTGTGAGTTCACACTTGTCTTAAAAAGAATGCACAAGTCGACTCCACGTCAGTCCTGGATGACTTTGAGCCGCTCGGTGTAGGTCGAACTCACAAACCTGCCACACATCTCAACTAGAAGAACACAATGAAAAAAAATCGAATGTGTTTCAAACACGATATGCACCATGCACCATTTATTTCAACACGTTTTCAAAGAGGGACAACGGAAACAACAAACTGAAGCATTTCTGAAAGGACTGTGAGTCGATAGAACTCGTTCGTTCATGAAAGGACCACATGATTAAAAGAAATAATTGAAATATAATGTGATTAGAAAAATGGACCATGCAGGGCATAATGCTAGGCATGATGCAACCGTCGACCTCGACCTCGAACCTCGTCCAAACACCATCCTTGTGGGTAGGGTATGTGAAAGTAGCATCAAAGGAAACACCATTACAACTATGCTACAGGGGTCATAAGTGCAACAAACGTCTGTGTGCAAACAACACAGCCAGGAATATGGGGAAACACATGTTGTGCAACAATGTGTTCAAAGCCATTAAGATATTTCCAGATCATTGCGAATCACTGGACCAAATATCCTTCACCTTTGGACTTGCCTGAAGCAGGAGCCAGTGTAGATGAGAATCTTTTGCCAAGCGCTTACGCTGCCAGGAGGAAGATCTGAGACATTCTGTTCTAAGAGCTCAAGAAAGGCGTCATTCACGGCGTCAACACGAGGCTGAGTGATATCATTCCCCAAATGCCTCGGAGAGAAAAACACCAGCTCTGGTCATTTCCTACCGGGACGAGCAACCCTGGGACTATGACAACCCTGGGGCATTGCAAAGCTTCGCTGAGTGGCTTAAATGCCAAGGTCTCAATGTGCGTCTTCAATTCCTCCGGATTATGGCTCTTTTCAGTGAGCACTCGGAAGCCGTTAAACAGCTTCAACGAGGTCACTGCTCTGGGATTTTTGAAGCTCTCCTGGCCGCCGCTTGTACAAGCTAATGTTTCAAAGTAGTTTGGCAAGTTGGTTTGACTCTCATCATTCTGTCTACACATTCGACTCTGCTTCAACAAAGCATAACATTTGGAGAAACTTCATGCAGCTTCATTCATGCCCCGTCCGATCTCTGATTAAGCACACTGGAAGTGGGTGAAATATGTGAAATAGGCAGCATTCATCAAACCAAAATCACAAAATAATAACCCAACGCACTCTCAAATCAATCCCAAATTTGCATAATTTTGGGATTCATAATGCATGAAGATGCATGTATAGACCACAAAACCCGCTCCTTTAGAACGACGAGTGACCCGGTCAATGCTCCATAGAGCGCATCGCCCAGAGACTCCCGTTCGCCCAAAGCTCCCAGCAAGAGTTCCCAGGAGCGACGCAAAACACAACTTTCGGTGTTCGTCCTGAGAAGAAGAGGCAAAGAAGAGAAGATAAGAGAAGAAGAGAAAAAAACACAGACTTATTTGAAGACATTGTTAACTGAAAAGTGTATGTGTTACATAACAGTTTATGTCTGAAAATCAACAACTTGAATCTCAGCATGTCATTCTCGACTGGAGGCCATCGCACTGGCGCTAGGCACCCGCGCACATCCAATAGGCTCATGTTTTCACCAAAGGCATGCTCGGAATGTGTAGCTCTGCCTCAGGCAGGCTCAACATGCTCCTCGTATTTCACAATGTAGCAGAGTAAGTAGCAAGGCTGATTCCTCAATCTTGTCAACGTCCGACATCAGCAACAGGAATTCCATCACGCTCTGCCTGCCTTCATCGAATTCTGAGTCAACGTAATCAGTTTCTTCCACAACTTGATACTCTGAGGCTTCCTGTGCAGCAAGAATACTGTCAGGGCATCAAACCCAAAGGAGGAGCAAGGACGCTACTAGGGACTCCTGGCCCTACTAACTACTAGGAACAAGAAGCTACTAGGAGCAAAGGGCATCGCTACTAGGAAGTGTCCAAACTGAGTACTCTATGGCACTCTGTTGCTATTAGGTCGCTATTAGGTTGGAGGCTTTCTCACGGCACTTACCCACTTCTGACCGTCTTGGTCGCCTCTGGCACTTCTTGCTCCATGTCTCTCGCTTCCATCTCTTTACACGAAAAGTGGCTTGTTTGTTAAAAACCACCTGTTCAAGCTGAATGCCGACACGTTACAAACTGTGTGGTCAGTCCAACAGTACTTTGCTACTTTTAACAAGTGCATGTGTTGTCTTCGAGCCAAATATTAAATATGGCAGTTGGACACGGGGATGATCACCGCGAATAACTTCAAATCGAATGTAGTTGCACCCTTCTCAGATCCGTCACAAAATATGAACCAAAATGTTTTGCGCCTTGCGTGTGGACAAAGAAACCACGCGTTAGCTTGCGAATTGGTAGGGTTTTGAGCGAGTTTCTCTTGTCATACCTTCAAGACGTCACACGTTAAAAAGAGGCTGTCAGGACATTGAACCAGTGCCATCCTTTCTTTTTTGGATATGGAAGAGCTCAAGTTTCTCCACATGTATGATCACTATGGGCTTGTTTCGCTGGTGGGGCGCCGCAAGCTTTTGTTGTAATACGTTGTATGCTACAAAATACAGAGCAGCAAGTGACACAAAGGCTAGAGCTACTACGGCATTGCTACGGAATTCTATCTGTTCATACATATCGGTCCATCCATCCATCCAAATAATATGTGCTCATAGCCATAGTTGCACTACCAAGAGTATTAGGATACCACTCGGGCTGCAGCTGCAACCCGAGATCTTGTTACTGGCTCTACGCGATGTTCCTTTTCACATTCAATCATTCGGACACAAAGGAACCAAGATTGAGACATTTCGGATAATTCTGCTTGGCTTTGGCGTAAAAAGGTCAACAATGGCCACGCAACCACAACCACAACAAAGCAAACAAACGGTGATGGGCTGTGGACATTGAGTCCATTAACTTGAAATACGGTGTGTGTCGGTGGCACGGAACCTTCGCAGACAAGCTACCACCTTCGGATGTTTGGTCAAAGCAAGTAGTACACACCCCACAAACATCCACAAACAAACTAAACGATTGACCAGCCCTGATTCGCAGAATCAAATGCACAGACCCGACATCTGCAAACAGCAAAGCATCCACACCACGGGGATCACATTTACGGTATGAGTGTCCAAACAAGGACTTCTCCACTTAGGTCCTTACGGGTATTTCATCCCAGAGAAGGGCTATGCAAAAATTGGTGACGTGAATTGAGAGCGAAAGGCATTTAATCCACATGATTTTGAATTTCGCAGGGTGCATGTTCGCAGCCCACTCGAGATCACAGGTTAGTGATGCTGTGCTGAGAACAAGGAAGGAGCTCAAAACAAGGAAAACTCTTTCGTGGAAAACTCTTCATTCTCAATCTGGTTGGAAGCTCAAAGTGAAAGCCTATCGAAGGGACTTCCTTCACCTTTTGGACCCTGAAAAAGTAGACAACAAGCCGCGAAAGTATGGAGATCTCGCTTGAACATCCCATAGAGCCCAATGGATCCCATAGTTTGAGCTACAAATTTACCTCCAAAGAATGCGAGTTTGATATTTGTAGCTCTTTTCGCTGGGAGAAAGAGCACCGTCTGTTCCACATCTAAATAATCTATTAGAATCTATTGATATCTTCTTCGCCTCTGCATTATCTTTTTTCAGAGTAAAGATTGAAGCTCCAGATTGAGTTGGAGCTGCTCCTGGAAGGAAACAAGCACGTTCGACAAAACTTTTCAATGTGACTACATTTGAAATCAAACCCACTGGCAAGTTGTTTCTAGCCTATTGTCTTGGACAATCCATTCCTACAAGTAAGAAGAACGCCAGCACTTGCATATGCATTGAAACTGCTATATGCTGCTAGCTGTCCAAACAGTCCTGCACAGCGGCCAGCAAGGCAGCTCGTTCAGCATCGGGGTCTGGGGCCAAGCGCACAGGGCCACACCTCATCAGCGCGTCGAAGAAAACGAAACTACGTCAACAAGAATGCCAATACCAGGTCCACTACTGTCACTCCGGTCGTCCACTTAAAAACAAAACTTGACGTGTGAACCCACGAACCCGAATGCAAATACGTTCGAAAAA